TTACCCAACACACCGTAGCCAACATCTATTTCTACAAGTGCAGGCAGCCCTATATCACCGTCTTTCAGACAGGCTTACTATCAAGGAACAAAGGCCCTTTTCAGAGCCCACAAACTTTCCGAAATGGTTGTCTATTTAATTTCGACAATCCCACACATGATGAAATGACTTTTTTATTGCTTTATCCGACGATGAAATTAAGCTTAGCCAGTGTGCATTAAATTTATTATTCATAACCCTGCACCATGTTTGTAATTTTTACTGATGAATTATTTCAAGATTTTGAGACAATATGTCTTACAGGGCTATGATATGGGCAGGAAGGGTTGGGATATCCTGCATTACTGATTCTGCTAGAACAGTGTTCCGCAACCCGTGTGCCGCGGCAAACTGGCGTGCTGTCACAAGGTGAAAGTTTTGCTGGGAACTTTTACCTATTGTAAGAAATTAATTGTAGAATTTTTTTCGTTTTATTTTATCAGAGTTACCGTGTTTCATATGCTTGTATTTTATTCTCAGCCGCTGCACCGATTAAATTAGATAAGGCTTGTTTATTCTTTATTATATGCTGTGATTTTTATATACAGTAATATTGTATTCTAAGAAATGAAACGAAAATTATCTACTCACAGTTGTTGTTATATCATAGTTTTAATAATTTATTTATTGTTATTTTTCTCGCATCTAAGCAGCTTTTTGTTATGCTTGCCACATGTTCTATATACGTGCTTTTTCCTAAACCTGCAGGGATTAGCATGAGTTTTCCTGTCTTTTATAACGCTGTTTTGGTATTTGCCCCTGTTTGTTAGAAATTAGAGCTTCTTCAACTTTATTACTTTCTTCCTGTAATGAAGCACCCACCAATTGTTCGACTTCATTTAAAACCTATATAAATACAAATGTAAATGTTCGTTTGCTACCCCTCGAAAATCTCCGAAAGTTCTTCACCAGTTGCTTCGAAATTTTGATACAACGTTGCATTCGCTTGCGTTCGTGTTTTTATATACGCATTATATAGATGTTACACCTGTGACAGGTAAAAACATGCTTCTTTTGAGAAAGAGAATTGGAATTTGGAATTCAGAAGAGTCACCCCTATGGAAACGCTAGAACAGACAGTTGCATAGGAAGTAACAATAGCGAAACTGTATCGAATCTCCAAGGTTAAGACGAATACCTGGAGCGTTCCCACAGAGACAACTCAATAACAATGGGACGTTGCGTAGGAATCGTGGAATCAACAAAGCAGCGTTCCCGCGGTTATGAAAAAGGCTCATTTGCATAGCAGCGGCCGAGGGTATAAAAGGGGGTTGAATTCATTCGCCCATTCAGTCTTAGAATAGCTGCCGCTGAAGAAGGTTGGAACCTAGACTCCAAGAAATACAGGAGTATTGTCCGAGAGATTGTGTAACCAGTAACACTAATACTGCAAGTTGCGATAATTGTAAAGTGTGCAAGTGAATTACAATAAAGATTCGCCATAATTAATACGGTGTGGGATGTCGTATGAATGAAGACAACCACTAGTCGAACTGTCCTATAGGATTTATTGCAGCTGCACAATATACACAGATGGATAACAATAGTGAACTGCTTGAACACTGAACTAGTATTGAAGAACGGTAGTACCAGACTCTAGACTGTCACTGCAAGTCAGTGTATCTTCTTATGCAGAATGGAGTCGGACATATGGAAAACGGTTACGTAATAGGTGCTGCTATTGCCGGTTACCGTGTTTACTAGTTCCCTAGCAACCGCTGTTTACTTGCTTTTGCCTAGCAACCGTAGTTTACTCGTTGTTGCTAAGCAATGACGCTTGCGTTGTCACACTTGCTTGAATGTGGGCAGTTCCCACATCCCCCCCCCCCCCCGCGGAGATGGTTTCTCAGCTGCTGAAGCGATCAGGAAAACGTACATGACGTCCAGAGCGTGTAGTTCGTTGAACAGGCTGTGGTGGTACGGCATGCGGAACCGCGGTTGAAGTTTCGTCGGCTGCAGGGTTGAAGCTCTCGGTGGTGGTCCCACGGCCTGTCTCGTTTAACATGTAGGCAGGTTTGACCCTATCGGTTGACACGGTGGCGAGCCTGCCGCGCACGAGTATTTGCATTGTCTTGTCCTTCCGTGATAGGACCTGGTAGGGGCCGCTGTAGGGGGGCTCCAATGCTCTGCGAGCTGTGTCCTGCCGGAGGAAGACGTGCGTGCACTTCTCGAGGTCGCTGTGCACGAATGTACCCGGGGAAGCATGGCGTGTTGCTGGAATTGGTCTGAGGCGAGCCATGTATTGGCGAAGATGGGTGATGAGGTGCGCTGGATCCACTGGCTCGGCAGTCGGAGTTAGCAGCTCTCCTGGTATTCTTAGTGGTTCGCCATACACGAGCTCAGCTACTGATGCCTGCAGGTCATCTTTGAATGCCGTGCGGATTCCGAGGAGAACCAGGGGTAGGGCTTCTGTCCAGTGTTGGTCTGCGTGGCACATGATGGCTGCCTTTAGTGTTCGGTGGAAACGTTCCACGAGTCCGTTAGCCGCTGGGTGGTGAGCAGTTGTTCTCGATAGTTGAATGCCACAGAGCTTGGCCAGGGAGTGGAAGAGTTGAGATTCAAACTGACGTCCCTGGTCGGTGGTGATGGTCTGTGGGCAACCGAAACGGGATATCCAGCCGGTCAGTAGGGCTCGTGCCACTGTGTCGGCTGTGATGTCCGGGATGGGGATGGCTTCTGGCCAACGGGTGAAACGGTCGACTGCAGTGAGGCAGTATGTGTAGCCTCCTGACGTCGGAAGGGGTCCAACAAGGTCTATGTGGACGTGAAGAAATCTGGCTGCTGGCGTTGTAAAGTCGCCCAGTGGAGTGACTGTGTGGCGGGAGACTTTGGAACGCTGGCAGGCCTGGCAAGCACGTGCCCAGGAGCGGCAATCCTTCTGCACGCCTGGCCACACGAATCGCTGTGCGACCAGTTTTGCCGTTGCTTTGGTCCCTGGGTGCGACAGATCATGGACCGACTGGAACACTTCGAACCGAAGAGGAGCTGGGATGTACGGCCGAGGTTTCCCGATATAGGTATCGCAGTAGATGGCCACCGTGGTACCGGGAATTGGTAGCTTTTCGAGCCGCAAGGCGGTGTTTGACTGCCGAGTGAATGGAGCTCGTCGTCGCTGTCCTGCGCTGCGGCCAATGCGTCGTAGGACGGTGGCGCCGTGACGGATTCGACGCGGGAAAGCGCGTCGGCAACGACGTTGTCCTGTCCCGAGATGTGTCGGATGTCGGTCGTGAATTGTGCTATGAAATCCAGGTGGTTGAATTGCCTTGGTGAGCATTTGTCCCTTTTCTGCTGGAAAGCGTAGGTGATAGGTTTGTGGTCTGTGAAGATGCTGAAGTGGCGCGCTTCCAGCATGTGGCGAAAGTGCTTTACGGCATCGTAGATGGCCAGCAGCTCGCGGTCATATACACTGTATTTTTGCTGGGCCGGGTTGAGTTTCCTTGAGAAGAATGCCAGGGGCTGCCAGGCGTTCTTGGCGCGTTGCTGTAGCACGGCACCCATTGCGGACGTGGAGGCATCTGTGACGAGTGCAAGTGGCGCGGATGGATCGGGGTGAGCCAGTAGTGTGGCGCGTGACAAACTCGCCTTGCACTCTTCGAAGGCTCTGTGGAGCTCCGGTGTCCATGTGATTGGGTGGGAGCCCTTGACCTTGGGCCCGGAAAGGACGTCGTGCAGTGGTGCCTGGTGTGCTGCCGCGTGGGGCAGAAATCGCCTATAGTAGTTCAGCATGCCCAGGAAACGGCGGAGCTGACTGGCGGTTTTGGGAGGTTGACATTCCTGAAGGTGAGTCACTCGTTCTTCCAGCGGTTGGGAGCCTTCGGCGGACACCTTATAACCGAGGAAGGTGATCTCAGGTACTCGGAAGACGCACTTCGCCGGGTTGATGAGGATCCCATACTTCTGCAGTCGGTCGAAGAGTGCCCGTAAGTGTTGCTCGTGTTCCTCTAGAGACCGGGAGAAGATGAGGATATCATCCAGGTAAGCGAAACAGAAGTCGAGTCCCCGCAGAATGTCGTCCATGAAGCGTTGGAAGGTCTGTGCGGCGTTGCGCAGGCCAAAGGACATGAAGGGGAACTCGAATAGGCCGAATGGAGTGGTGATGGCCGTCTTCTGTATGTCACCGGGATTGACGGGGATTTGGTTATACGCTCGTACCAAGTCGATTTTGGAGAAAATGGTACAGCCATGGAGCTGGTGTGCGTAGTCATGGATATGCGGGACTGGGTAGCGGTCAGGGATTGTCCGGGCGTTTAGTGCTCTATAGTCGCCGCAAGGACGCCAACCGTTGTCTTTCTTGGGCACAATATGTAGTGCCGCGGACCATGAACTCTCTGATCGACGAGCTGTACCATCCCGCAACATGGCGTCGAACTCGGCCTTTGCGATAGCGAGTCTGTCCGGTGCCAGTCCCCGTGGTCGGCAGGTTACTGGTGGGCCAGGTACAGTCCTGATGTGGTGGACTGTGTTGTGTCGTATCTCGCGCTGGACTCCAGCTGGGCGGGTCAGGTCCGGGAACTCTGTGAGGAGGCTGTCGATCGGTGTGTTGCTGCTGATGGTCTTTACACTGGGGATCAGTGCGTTGGCCGCTGATGCCGGGGCTGACAGTGTCGTGACCCCGTCCAGGATGCGGTTGTTCCGACAGTCCACCAGGAGACCGAAATGCGACAGGAAGTCCACGCCGATGATAGGATGCGGGACGTCGGCCACCACGAAGCGCCACGTGAATTCTCGGCGTAGGCCCAAGTTGAGGCTGAGAGGCAGCCATCCGTATGTGTGGATGGTAGTGCCAAGAGCTGCACACAGGTCATAGTTGGTACGCTCCATGCGTCGATGGAGGAGCCTGCGGGGGTATACACAGAGGTCCGAACCAGTGTCGACTAGGAACTGCCGTTTGCTGACTCTGTCCGTTATGAAGAGGCGGCCTGTTGTACCGCAGACATGTGCCGCCGATGATGTCCGCTGCGTCAGTTTCCGTGCTGGCGGTAGGAGCAGGGCGGAGTACAGTTGTGTGCCAGAGCGCCGAAGCGGCGGTGGTACCAGCAGATACTGGATGTGGCGTCGCCCCGGGAGGGGGATCTGCTGCCGGGCCGGCGGTTGTTGGGGTATACACAGAGGTCCGAACCCGTGTCGCCCCGGGAGGGGGATCTGTTCCTCGGTTTGTTGTCGGACTCCCTGAAGCGGGGGCGGACCTCTGGGCGGGAACCTTGGGGGCTGGAGCCTCGGTCTCTCGGTTTGGTTTCGAGATTTTTGAAGCGGGCGTGGAGGCGATCCTGTCCGGTGCTCAATGCAGCCACTTGGCGGGAGAGATCAGCGATCTCCTGCCGAAGTGCGCCGATGTCCGTGGGTCCAACGACGCTAGCGAGCGCTGGCCGGACTTCGACCTCAGAGATGCGGTCTGCACAGAGGGCTGCGGCCACCAAGTTGCTCTCGTTCTGGCCGGCGAGGAAGCTCTGCACGTTGCGGGGTAGCCGGCTGGTCCAGACGCTTCGGATGACGTTATCAGACACATCTGGTGCGAGGCTTTTGAGGTGCCTCAGGAACTGGGACGGCTTACGGTCGCCAATTTCCTCGACTGCGAGGAGTTGCCGGATGCGCTGCTCTGGTGATGGGGATAGCCGCCTCACAAGCTCGGTTCTCAGTAGGGTGTAGGGGCCTCGTTCGGGTGGAGAGGTGATAATGTCCTCTACTTCCGATGCATAACGTTGGTCCAACTGCGAGATTACGTAGCAGAACTTCGTCTGCTCGCTACTGATACCGGCCAAAGTGAACTGTGCTTCGGCTTGAGCGAACCAAACTGCTCGTCGGTCGGCCCAGAACGGCGGAAGCCGCACGGCAATTCTTGGTGTCTCTGTTGGTACTGGTCTGCTAGTAATACCAGCCTTATGCTGTTTTACTTCCATTTTTTCTTCCTGTTCTCGTTTTGTACGTAGTTCGGCTTGTAAATTCTCCATGTGTGTTACGTACTGTTGCAGGAGGTCTTCTATTCGACCGCTGTCCATTATTTGTGTTGAATTGTCGGGGTCACCAATGTGGGATGTCGTATGAATGAAGACAACCACTAGTCGAACTGTCCTATAGGATTTATTGCAGCTGCACAGTATACACAGATGGATAACAATAGTGAACTGCTTGAACACTGAACTAGTATTGTAGAACGGTAGAACCAGACTCTAGACTGTCACTGCAAGTCAGTGTATCTTCTTATGTAGCCTGGAGTCGGACATATGGAAAACGGTTACGTAATAGGTGCTGCTATTGCCGGTTACCGTGTTTACTAGTTCCCTAGCAACCGCTGTTTACTTGCTTTTGCCTAGCAACCGTTGTTTACTCGTTGTTGCTAAGCAATGACGCTTGCGTTGTCACACTTGCTTGAATGTGGGCAGTTCCCACAACGGCATAAAGTTATTTGTAGCGTGACATACCCAAAGCAAACTACGAGTACATGCATTACTGACGCGTGCAACACGTCACATCCACATCAAATTCGTGCATTGTTTGTAATTACATTGACCGCCTGCTCTCCTTCATCTCCAACAGAGATATGGGAGAAATATAAATCGCACATGGCTGAAGATATTTTCCGTCGAATACGCACGGAAAATTCTAATATGAACTTGGATTTCACAGCAGAAATCTGCAACGAAGCGTTGATAATGATTGAAGATTTGTGCTTAGAAATCGCGAACAAAGTTCTCAATCAATTGGGAATGCCATCATCCAATCCATCTGCTGCTGCTTCGTTCAATGTAGAATTGCGTCGTGAACAAAATTACAACACGGTGATCTTTTGTCACATGTGCAATCAAATATCCATAGGTTAACGCTTGAGCAAAATAGCATTTACAATCAAATAATGCAAACTGTCAATAACGGGGTTGCAGAATTCTTCTTCTTAGATGCGCCAGGAAGAACTGGTAAAACGCTCCTAATTAGATTGATTCTGGCAACAATTCGATCCCAAAATGACTTAGCCTTAGCTCTTGCGTCGTCAGGAATAGCTGCGACATTGCTACCAGGTGGAAGAACTGCTCATTCCGCTTTGAAATTGCCATTGAACATGCAATTCATTGAAACTCCCACGTGCAACATTTTCAAAGCATCAGGCATTGGAAGGGTATTGCATAAATGCAAACTTATTGTTTGGTATGAATGCACAATGGCGCACAAGAAATCGCTCAAGGCTCTTCATCGGTCATTGAAAGATTTGAGTGGAAACATCAGACCATTTGGGAATGCATTATTATTGCTTGCAGGAAATTTCAGGCAAACATTACCTGTAATTCCTCGATCGACACCAGCTGACGAAATAAATGCTTGCCTGAAATACTCTACTTTGTGGCGACACGTAAAGACGTTAAAATTAACTACAAATATGCGTGTCCAGCTGCAAAACCATCGGTCAGTTGAGATATTCTCACATCAATTGCTGGAAATTGGGAACGGACAGGTGCCGGTTGATCTGACCTCAGGACGAATTTCGTTGCCTCATAACTTCTGCAATTTAGTGACGTCAAAAGAAGAATTGGTTGAAAAAGTATTTCCCAATATTCAAACCAATTATAAGAATCACAATTGGCTGAGTGAACGAGCTATTCTTGCGGCCAAGAACCAAGACGTCTACGAAATTAAGCGTATCATTCAGTCTAACATTCAATGCGAGGCAGTCACATACAAGTCCGTCGACACTGTTGTGGAAGCAGATGAAGCGGTTAATTATCTAACAGAATTTTTTAATTCACTCGATCTGCCACAGCAACGCGTGGCCGGCTACAGCTAGTTATAAATATTAAAAAAAAAGGTAAGTCCAGTGTCACTTCTTCCGTTTGAAGGTTAGAGATCCCGCGTTTTACAGTTGTTTCATTTCTATCACAGATGTGCTCTGAAGTAGTTCGCAAATTTTGGTTGCTAGTTAGAGAATTACAGATGGGTGGTTTGAGATGTCCCCGGCTGTATGGCCACTTGCTGACGGCAATAAAATGGTGATTGACACAATTAAAGCACACTTAGAAATGCTGCAGCAGAAATTCAATAAGTATTTTGGAGAGAGCGTACAAGATTTCGGCTGGGTTCGTGATCCATTTGTTGTGAATTCAGAATATCTTCCGATTAATATACAAGACGAACTCGTACATTTAAAAGCAGACAGAACATTGAAACTAAAACTTCTCGAAGTGCCTTTGGATACGTTTTGGTTGGCAATAAGGAGTGAATACCCGGCTATCTCCGAGATGGCAGTTAATGTGTTACTGCCATTTTCAACTACATATTTGTGTGAACTGGGCTTCTCGGCGTTAACTGAAATTAAGACATCAAAGAGGGAGCGGCTCAAATCCATCGATGAAGACATGAGACTTGCCTTATCAACGATTCCCCCACGAATCAGTCGTCTGTGTGCAGCTACGCAAACGCAAGTATCACATTGAGGGTATGAGAAGAATTACTGTATTTACTTTAATAGTAATAAAAGTGTATTTTCTATACTCTACAGTGAATTAAAGTTCATTAATTGTTAATAAATGCACGAGTCGATTTCTGTTTAATGATAATAAAATAACAATATAATAATATTATAGTAATAAGTTGATCACGTTACGTATTTATATTAATTGTGTGATATCATGCGTTTTTGAGGGGAATAACATTTTGGTGTGCCGTGTTGAGTCATGGATACATCATGGTGTGACGCGGTTAGAAAAAGATTGCGGAACACTGTTAGAAAACTGTACCGTAAAATTTTGTGCAACAGACATTTCTCCCTATGGCTGAAAGGGTACACCTTAACAGATGTGTAATTTCTTTACCTATTTAATTTTTGTTACATTATTATTCGGTTTTATTGTTATAGGCGTATTCATTCTCTTATTTTTGCCATATAATCATATCCTGTACTGAATTGGCCAACATGAACATAACATTTTCAATAAACTTTGCATTTCTTACAGACATATTATTAATTTTTGCTTGATAGTCGTATCCAACACTGAACTGTAAGATAAATAAATACCAGATTTTCAGTATTCATTACATTTCTGTCAGGTATATTTTTATTCGAGAAAGGACCATATATTTTACAAAGTGAGGTGGAAAAAGCTATCAAGGAAATGAGGAAGGGAAAGGCTACAGGTGATGATGATGTACCTGGAGATGTGCTCAAGTTACTGGGAGAAGGTGGTTTGAAAACACTGACAAAACTAATGAACACCATATATGAAAGTGGAGAGTGGCCCAAGGACTTTACAGAAGTTACAATGATTGCCTTAAAGAAAAAGACAAAAGCTACAAAATGCAGCGACCATCGCACAATAAGTCTCATTGCACATACAGCAAAGATAATAGCAAAGATACTTAAAAGAAGAATTGAAAGGAAAATAGAGGATGTACTTGGAGAAGATCAGTTTGGATTTAGAAGAGGAAAAGGAACCAGGGATGCAATTGGGATGATGAGAATTATAGCGGAACGAACTTTGGAGATAGATGAAGAACTGTGTGTTTGCTTCATAGACTGGCAGAAGGCATTTGACCGGGTAAACTGGACCAAATTAATGCAGATCCTGAAAGAAACAGGTATCGATTGGCATGAAAGAAGATTGATTAGCAAATTGTACATGGATCAGAAAGTTAGAGTACGACTGGACAGGGGGGAGACAGGAAGTGTGCAGATTGGAAGAGGAGTTCGACAAGGATGCTGTTTATCACCAATTCTGTTCAACTTGTACAGCGAATGCCTTACCAAGGAAGCTCTGGATGGGCTCGGTGACTTCAAAGTAGGAGGGCAAATTATTCAAACTGTGAAATATGCAGATGACCTTGTGTTAATGGCTAAGGAAGAAACTGTGCTACAGGGCATGATTGATAGACTAATTGAAATTGGAAGGTGCTATGGCATGGAAATGAATGTGGAGAAAACAAAAGTAATGAAAATTTCGAGACAACCAACCCCAGTCACAATAAAGATAGACCAAAAACAAGTGGAGAATGTGAAATGTTTTAAATATTTGGGTAGCTTGTTAACAGATGATGGAAGGTGTACTTGTGAAATTAGATCCCGGATTGCCATGGCAAAAGCTGCATTTAGCAAGAAGAAAAATCTTTTTACCAGCAAATTGGACTTAAATTTGAGGAAGAAACTAGTGAAATGCTACATTTGGAGCATAGCTCTGTATGGGGCTGAAACATGGACACTTAGGGCAGTAGATCAGAAACATCTGGAAAGTTTCGAAATGTGGTGTTGGAGAAGAATGGAGAAGATCAGTTGGACCGATTATGTGAGAAATGAAGAAGTGTTAATTAGAGTCAGTGAGCAGAGGAATATCCTACATGAAATAAGAAAACGGAAGGCTAATTGGATTGGTCATGTTTTACGCAGAAACTGCCTTCTAAAAGAAGCTATCGAAGGAAAGATAGATGGGCGGATAGAAGTGACAAGAAGACGAGGAAGAAGACGTAAGAAGATGCTGGATGACCTTGGGGACAGAAGAGGATACTGTCATTTGAAGGAGAAAGCTCTAGATCGCATTAAGTGGAGGAATTGTTTTGAAAGAGACTGTGGACCTGTCGTCTTGACAGATTACTGATGATGATGATGATATTTTTATTCCTGCCATATCATTATTGCTTGAGCGCTCGGAGTGAGCGGACGTGCTGTGATGTGTGCTCCCGCTACATCTCTTCAACTTCAACTGCAAGCTTCTGTATAGTGTCTCTGTGCTACACAGTGCGTAAACTTAGCCTGCTCTTATGGGGGTCAGCCGGGATACTTGTTCTATATGTGTCAAGCAATTTTATGGTAAACAAAAGTCTGTTCGCTGTGGTACATGTGAAGTAAGATTTCATTCCGTGTGCGTGCAACCAGGTGAGGCTGATCAGACTATAGTTACGGTGGCGGGTGATTCTGCTTTCACGTGCGATGCATGCGCGATATCACTCAGCTCTAACAACACCAAGGATTTGGCCAGCTCAACTGGATCTACATCTCTGCCTCCTGAAGATGATAAGCTTC